ACTTACAAGAGGAGCATAGTATAAAAAAGGTTGGGAACTACTGGTCCATATTATCATACAACTATTATTATTATCATTTATTACTTTTAAAAGTGAAGGGGTGTATATGTAATGCAAACTATGATAGAGTGCTTCTGTTGGAGAATCTAACATTGAATACACACAAATAATAGAGTGTAAATTATTTTCTGTTATACTTTCAGGTCGTGTTTTATAAAATACTATTACTTTATTATCCTGATTTTTTTTGAAAAACCTAAAACCAACAAACAAAATTATGATTAATATTAAAGATAGGTACCTATAATAATATCACTGTTATTAAAATAAGAAAAAGTTAATGAATTTTAGGTTAATATGTACTGTTGTTATCTTTTATAATTAAAAGTTATTTTTTTTTACTCACGATTTTGTCATTTGCTTCAAGCGTTTCAGGGTCTATGTTTTTTTATGCATAATGTGCAACAATTGGAAGAGTTCAAAAAAGCATTTAAGTGTTCGGTACCTGATTTTAATATGGTATTTTTATCGAATGCATCAAACCCAAAATAATTTCCTGTAAATTAATAACTTTTAATTATATCTATTTAATTAAAATATACTAATATTAATATGAAAATATACCTGCTGTTTTTATAATAAAGTCTTGTCGAAAGTCTGACATGTTAAAAAAAATATTTTATTTAAATTTGATACTTGTTAATAATTTTTTAGACATTTTAAGTATATAATCTAAAACCATATGTTATCTAGTGACTACTTCCTACTACAGTAGCATGTATGAAGTTTGTTGTTGATATAATTACCATGGCAACAATATAACAACTCATAATGTCACTCGTGGAGTCGTGAAAAGTACATTAGGGTAAATAATGAAACGAATATTATATTATGATTATATAACTAATTATTTTAGATTCTGGCTAAGTGACGAATGTATCAGTTTAACAAAATTGTTATTTTTACTTAAATTCGTTTTTGATAAAAACACATTTTGTTTTTATGTTAGGAATAAAATTTAAAAAACGAATAACTGTAGAGATTTGAAACTCTAACCAAACATTCATATTATACGTATAACCTTTTTAACCAATATGATAAAATTTTAAAAATATTTTACTTCTTTTTGTGTCGTTTATTGATAATATTTTGAAAATTTAATCGATGTACTCATATATATGATAACCCACTTATTTTTGAGTTTTTTTTTTTAGTTATTATTATTATTATTATTATTAAAAAATATTAAAAACACATGGTCACATTTTTTTTATTTTATAGCAATAAAGAAGTTACAGTTCAAATTTTAACAAAACTCATTAAAATTACAAAAATTATTTTTTTAAGTAAAAAGTAATTTTATTTTAAAAGTTAGGGGTCTTGTAATAAATTTTCAAGTGTTTCTCTTTAACAATTATAACTAAAATTTTACAATGAATAAATCAAATAAGAAGTATAAAAATTTAAATCTATTATAAGAAATTACTTTCAATATTTAAAAATCTAAGCACTTTTACTGTTTCAAAAAAACGAAGATGGACAAAAATAATATATAGTATAATGAATATTAATAGGTAGTTAAAAGCTGTTTAATACATTTAATACATCCATTACTTGATTCTTAGCAGTTATTTATTTGATTATTGGAAAAATATTTTTATTGAAGTATAATAATATGAATTTGCAATTGAATAAATTTGACATGAAATCGCGTTGTATTGTGTGGGGGAAAATTTTCTCCATGGGTAATGCAATAATTGAAATTAGATAATTGTCTTGTTTCACTAGTAAAAATATTCTTGTTGTCCCTTCGTATGAACACTTTGTAAAATTATTATAATTAATACTTAATGTTAATAATCTGCAATAATATAAATCAACAATGCTTGTATGTTGTACATGTATATATATACTAAGTATGTAGTATATTGTATTATTTCTTATCTAATCAAGTAGGTATACATTATTAAATTTTTCCATCTTACAAACGGTTACGTGAATAAACCTATCCGTGTAATATGATGATTTTTGTTTTATGTAGGTATTTTATAATTTTATCAGTATAGTATTTGAATAAATACACTATTTTTAATATAGGTTATCATTTATGAGTTACCTATTACTTATTGCTATACAATCTTATCTCGTAAATATAAAATATTTATTTATCTCTCGATTTATGAGTTATTATATCAATTATTAAAATAAAATAATTGTATGTTTAATTTTAATAAGCAGTTGCTGTCTTTTTATGATAGTTTTATGACCACTGTTTATGTAAAATAAAAAGATATGTTCTTTGTATTCCAAAATAATGTCCTCATCAGTTATTGAATTAATACGTATTAAAACCTTTGACCCTCGTATAGGTCATACATCGATACTACTATAATACTATGCTTATTAATAAAAAACGCATTAGGCTTAAACATTAGCTAAACATTAAAACATTGAAACAATACAATGTACTAATAGCCTATTAGTACACATATTTCTATAAAAAGGTATCCTCATATCATTTAGATAAAATACAAAGGTGTACTATTTAAGTATGATGAAACACATTAGAAAATTATTTATTCCATATTCCTATTTCTCATATTAAAGTTAAGATATTTTGGTACTTTTAATATCATAAGCTTATACATATATAAGATTAAATTGAAAAGTTGGTAGTGTAATGATATATACATTCAGTACGAAGTACACCTGTCAAAAAATTAAAAACAGTAGGTACATTTCATATTTAATAGCTAATACTGTCATACTCAATTCTATCATGAATTATTTCACAACAATAAAACTTTTTATAGCACTAATATATAATGCTAATTTAAAATAAAAACACGTTTCCTCTAACATTTCAGTATATAGCAAAATTTGCATTAGAAATTATTGATAAACAGAGTTAAATCATGGCTTCACTTATACTATTAGATTCTATGAAACTGTTGTATTACTTGTATTCCAATTATTAATATTTCCAAAAAAATTAATTACTTACAATTACACGATCATTATCCTAATAAATTAAAACTGTAAAATTATGTGTTTTTGGTTTAAAAATAATTGGTTAATATATTTATCTTACTCGCTGTAATAATTAGGTATACTGTATGTTAATGTATGCCTCATTAAAACTTTTACGGTATTATAATAGTTTAAGCGTTTTAAAAGGAAGAATGCTAAATTAAGGGATTTAAACGATGTTGATGAGTGGCTACGAAAACACGAAACTTCATTATTTAAGTTTAAATCCGATTAAAGCTTTTAGAAACTAATATTTGATAAAAATAAGAATATAAATATTTTAAGCAACTTAATTAATTTGTGTATTTAATACTCTACTTAATATTATTATTAAATTTACACACTATAATACATTTTCAACGCAATATTATATTGACAATAAAGAAATAGGCAAATAGGTATCTAAAATTTTATATATTTTATATGACTTAATATTTTCGGTATCTACCAGATAACATAATATTACCACAAATTAACTTTTGTGAGTTACCTTTTGGTTATTGACGATATTGTAGAATTTAAATTATAAGATTTATATAATATATTACATAACACATTTTAATTTTAGCTTCATAAATAAATAAAAGCTACACAGAAAGCACTTTTTGACCTTTGATAATATTTAGAGCAACAATTAAGGTTCCACGTTTATTTGTCTACCATATTATTAAAATACATTTCACTTTTAATTATTCTAACTACATAATATTTATGAGAAACAATTTTACTATAAATCCTGTATGGCTATAATATATAATAATATAATAGTGTTATAAAATTATTAATAATAAATATGATTAAAGATAATATACACATAGTCTTTGTTTTAAATATTTTATGTCTATTGTATTTTCTTGAATTCATTTTTAATCGATTTGAGGAATGTACTTATTTTAACTGTGGTTTTTAATAGAATTAAAACCAATTTTTGTATAAAATAAACTAACTCAATTTTGTTTTGTTATTAAAAAATTGAATAAATTGATAAATATATTCTTAAAGAATAATACTTAATCTTACACGTTGTACATACTAACGCTGACACAAATTTATATACTTCTAGAATTTTTGAAATATTAAAATTTAGTTAATTTTTACAAATATATTACTTTAAAAAGTACTGAGTCATTCATTTGTCTTAAAATGTTATACATTACCATTTTTTGGACTTAAATCAAATCTTGAAATCACAAAATTTATAAATTTACATACAAATTAATTTATAACGGTTTAATTTAAATGATATTAAAAAGGTAAATATTTTACTTCTAGACCCTGCTATTATTGTTTATTGGAATATGGTTCCTTTTATATCTCAATAAATTATTTAGTTTTATGATGAACTAAAAAATATAGAATATTTAAATAAACTATAAATGATTACAAACTCAATACGTTTTGATTTTTTTTAGATGACACAATTAATTAAAATAAAATTGTTCATTTATTAATAAAATATTTTTTTATTTATTAACAATTAACAATTGTTTGGAATGTAGGGTTCTAATCCTATTACAAAAAGGGTAAAAAGTTTTTTCATTTCAAAAAACTGTTGATTATTTAAACAATAAACGCATTTATACTAATTATATATATATATATATATAATTCAATTACAATTTCTATAGTAAACAAATAAATATTCTAGTGCAGTTTTAATTTATTTCCCATACGCAAAACGTTAAATCTAAGATCAAGGCTGTTTATTTGTTAAGCGTTTGTTTATTTCATAAAAAGTTAGACACTTGTATGTATTGCATTTATGTTTTTCATAACGTTTTCATGAAATTTTTCATAATTCGATTTTATTTTAAATAAGAATTTATTAACAAAATTAGCTACCTAAACATCTCAATCTTATCTTTCTTATTAAACATTTTTTGTTTTGTATTTATCAGTACAGGGGTCATAGAGTCTATTATTCCAACAAAGCTATGATATAATTTATTAATCATTCAGTTGCGATACATGGAACATTACTGACGGAAATAGTAAACGATATACTTGTGCATTGTACCTTAAGCGCTTAGTTCATAAAAAGTAATTAAAAAATTAAAAATGAATGTCGCAACACCCGTGAATTCCGAAAAACTACGGTATAAAATAAAAGTTAGCGGTCTCCCAAGGTTTTATTCATTATTGGTAAGTAATTTATATTTTATTTTACTTACTATACAAAATAATGGATAAGTATTTTATATTTAATAAGTATTATTGCATTGGAATGATTATGATAAAGTGATTAAAAACGAGAAAACTTCCATGATTAATGATATCTTAATGAATTATTGTAAAATTAATTAAAAAATAATAATTTATTACTTTATAAATGGCCCATTTTGATAAACGTTTAGTAATTATTTTTACTAATGTTATAATTGTAAAATATTCATGTTTATATAATATATATATATATAGGTAATAGGTATGTATATAATATTATTAAAATGAAATTTCACTTTTTTATATTATATATTACACATCTTTTTACACGTATAATGTAAGTATTGACATGTACTTATATTTAATTCGTAATTAATATCAAGACTAAAAACAATAACATTTAATTTTATAATACTTATTGAATAGGATATAACTACTTTAATATTTAGGTGACAGGTATTTTAGTTTTAACATAAATTTACGCAGGTATATATGACTATTTAAAAAAATATATAAAATAAGTACCAACTATAATAATAATAATAAAAAAATTACTGTTTTTAATTAATTTTTTTTTAATATATACTATGAATTTAAGACTTTGATTTTAATAAATGCGCATATTATAAACCAATAGCCCAATGGTTCTTAAGATAGGGTCTGAAGTGAATATTGTGTAGATATTTAAACATTTTAGTTTTTTCATAAAAAAAGCACAGTAAGCAAAAATATTTACAACTATCAGAAGGTATCAAGATCATTTCGATCTTATCATACAATTTCGATTATTTATAAACATCAGGAACAATGTTGCAACTTCTAAACATATTTAAGTATCCAACTGTATTTTACTGTTCCACACAATAAACAAGTATAAGATCCATTTCTGTAGAATATTAACTATAAAAGATCTATCACTTATACTATATATTGATTTGTATGCACAAAGACAATTATTAACATTGAAACTATTACCAAAACGTTACTCTAAAATATGGCTTGATTTAAAGTCAAATTAAGTGAAACAAATATCATCACACTTAAAATTATATATACCTATCATTTTTAAATTAGATAGATAATCAATTGCTTTAATAAGTATAACAATATTAAGACTTTAGCAAAATAATATAAGCATTATAGTTATGGATTGTTAGTTTTAATAAAAAAGTGACAGGTAATTTTTGCCGTATTAAAAATGAGATATCGAGCTTGATTCACTAAAAAATATATTCTTATTATGATTATAGTAAACGATTTATTTTAAGTATAATCTACATTATTAAGTCGTAAATATTTATGCTGTAATGTAATTTCTTTAAAAAATAGATATACATTTTTCATTACTTTGAATATTTCACTTATAAAAAGTGTAATATTATGGAAAAATGTATTATTATTATAGGATCCATTGTTACAAGAATTTTTGAAAATGATCAATGAGGAGTTGAGATTAAATTGCATACACGCGAGATACAGTAAAAAAGGTAACGCATGGCTGTATCTCACGTTTCCAACCGAATCCGAACAAGCGGTTGCCTTAAAATTATTAAAAAAATATAACTGGAAAGGACGTTCTTTAATCAGTACGGTTAGTGTTCCATCAAAACTTTTGATTATAAATTTAGGAAATCGATACATATTTATTATTTTTTATATAGTTAGTTACAGCCGACACGCCTAAAAACAATTTGAATTCAACACACGTCGAAGGGAACCATGTAGCTAAAAAACCAAGACTCGATATTCCACTTGGTGAACAAGTATTGATGTCTACAATTCCTTATCATAGTATTGAATACGAAGAACAAGTGAGTACAAATTACAAATACGATTATTAATACAAGTTTATAACTATTTATATAACTACAGCTTATAATTATTTTAAAATATAACACAGTGATATAATAATGATATATTCATTATACAGAGTGATTCACCAAGTATGCATACTCCCGTTGGTTTTAGGAATTTTTGAATATACTTTGTAATATACTTGAAGATCATATTTAGAAATTTTTGAATTTTTTATATTACCTAGTTAACGAATGCTTTGTTTGCTGCGTGATGATACGAACTTCTATTTTTAAATGTGAATCATCTTTTCTATTGTAAATTATTTAGCAAATAATTATTAAAAAGTTTTTACTAAGGATAATAATCCTTAATAATAGTTTCACAAAAATATAAAGCATATTTAGTATTAGATTTACTGAATATATTTTATTGTAGTTGGATTAATGTTGATACATTATTTACTAAAATTTTCAAATTTTTAAATCATTTTTTCGTACATTCTCCATAACTACCTAATCTATTATAATGGACTTTTAATTATCCTTAATAATTTAAGTAGTAAAGGTGGGTTTAAAAACAGGAGTTTAAATCTTATCATTACACTCCTAAGTCCTAAGCAGTACAAAACGTCTTGAAAATTTAAAAATACAGTTTTTGAGTGTGATTAAAAATTTTGAAAATCAGATTTTGAGTACAACTATTGGATTTTAAAATAAATAGGGGATGAGCGTAATCGATGAATCACTCTGTATATTCAATATTTATATGTATTTAATCTCGTTCTTTAAAGTTAAAAATATTTTATTGTATAATCGCCATGTACTATTGCACTTATTACCTCGTGCATGACACTATTATCTAATAATCCACACCTAATGAACATTTAATTTAATTAATTTCGTGTATACGGTTACAACGGTTTTCGTGTTACTAATTGGCGATTGGGTTCGAAACAGTTGAGGAAAAAGAGTGAAGAAGCGAGAATATTGTTTCAACGGTTTGGGACGATAATTCAACGCAAGCAACCACCGCTCGCGGAATGGTGTGCGATGCGCAAACGGCAGCTGAAAAGCGATCTCGCGTTCGAACTGTCGCCGATAATACCGTCGAAAAAAATCGACCGATACCGGAACAAATGCGAGTGGAGCGTGGGTGAGTAAAAACTGTTTGATTAAACGCGCGCAAAGAGGTCTACAGACGCATAGTAAAATAATGGGGAGCGTCTGATAAATGTTATTATTATGAAGTCGGTCTTTGTATATAACAGACCGACAGGACACTGTAGCTGCAGCCCGCGATTTATAGCCCAAAGGAATGGGTTTGTATTATACAGTAATACCCACTGGACTGGGTTTAAAATGTATACAGGAATTAATCCCGACAGCGATTCAGTGGCCGTCGGGCTGAGAGTGAAAGATTCGATGGACGGAATCCACTATGTCGGTCCACCGGATTGTCTAAGAAATTTGCCGATGCCAATGATCACGTTAGCGAAGGTAGTGTAGCAATAATAATAATATTGACAAAATAAAATATTGTATTGAACATTTTTTCCTTAACATTATTATTTAATTTACGAACTGCGATTATGTACAATAATAATCGAACAGATATATATATATATATATTATATATATAATTATATCCGCTTTCGGTTACCTATTTTAAAGTTCAAATAATATGTTAAGATTCATTAGTACTGATAATTTATTAGTATATACATATAGTAATTTATCGAAAGATTTCTTTCAATTTTCTAAATCAATCACTTACTGTGTTTAACGGCGTAACATTTATTTTACTATATACAACCAACAATTATACAAGTACTTATCGTTTGTAGACGTGATAGTGTTCTCACATTAGATTGTAATTAATTTAGAAATTCGAGGATTTCGTAAAAAATAATTCTCAAGATTGGAGAATATGGCGCAATATGATAATTCGTATGAACGAAGACGGAGAAGTCATGGTGTCGATAGTTATCAACCACCATCTACTGGACAACGATCAATTATCTAATATTAAATGTTCAATATTAGAATGGTCTAAAAATAACATAACCGAAAACGTAGTATCATTATATTTTCAAGTCCACGGAGAAAAGTGAGTTTAGACTTATTTACTGTGTATTACTCATATACAAAATACAAATGTTCCTGTATTGTGCTTTATGACGCTTTTTAAGTATTGTAATTTAATGACATTTGAAAATTTGTTCTCAACGTTGATCGTTATAAAATATGTAATTTATATATAATATATATGTATAATTTTATGTATGTAGGGCCTTGGCTGATTGTATCAGTACCACAATTGAAGCTGAATTATTGTGGGGACAAAAGTACATTGTAGAAAAGCTATTAAACTTATCGTTAGAAATATCTCCAGCCACATATTTTCGTTTGAACAGTTTAGGTGCCGAAGAATTATGTAAAGTGGTTGCTGATCTTGCCGATGTGAACGAAAATACTACAGTTTTGGATTTGTTCTGTGGGTCTGGATGCTTAGCTCTTACATTAGCCAAGGTAAATTATGAATTTTTGATTAACTCATTTGTCTTACTTTAGATTATAGGTGAGTAATTTAAGCATATTATATTCAGTGTCAAGACTTTTAGGATTCATGTGATTCGTATTTAATTTCTTATTATTTTATAGTTATACGTATAGGTACTTAAGTACATTACCTATATAAAGATTAAAATATTTAAAAGTTGCATTATACTATTTATAAGTCCCAAATAAATGATAATTTCAAACATTTTCTTAATGAATATCAAATTAAAATTCCATGTGGGTTCTACTATATTTTCTTATAAATAATATAATTAAGTCAGTGTTTTTAACGTATTATCAAAAAAACAAACACATTTAGCTAATAACAGTAACACAGCAATAAATCAAAAACTATTAATCAATTTATTTATTATTTATCTATATTTTAGATTTTGAATGGAACAATGAATGTACCTATTGATTTTATAACAGTGTGTATTTTTTTTTATTTTTTTTTTTCTGTCATTACCTTTCGGAGCAGTAAAAATGCTTTTATCTTAAAGTGTAAATTAACGACTTTTCATCAAACGATTTTAGTTTTTTTGTTGTTACTTAAAAAAGTTTTAATCGTTGAAACTTGAAATATTTCAAACGAAATGTAACAAGTGTTGCACACAATAGAACAACAAAAAAAAAAATGAATAAATAAATAACAGTAGATACTATACTTATGAAATGGTACAGAAATTATTAACAAAATTAGATATTTAATCGAAGAATTACGGTTTAAGTTATTTTTACTTAATTAATTTAATAATATTATTTTTGGGGACTTAAGTATTTTACGTATATTATTTTATATTATAAACAATGACATTAATAAAGCATTTAGATTTATTTTAAGCTATTGCACCTGTTTATGCATCGAACCTGTTCATTGCACCGTTCTATTGTATTGACTTATAAGTTAATAACAATAACATCTATACGATATAAATATATTATACCTATATAATTAAAATAACCAATTATTAATAATACTATAAAAATAATGTTTTTGACAAAAATTAACTTCATTTACCGTATTATAAATAATAATTTAAATTATTTTAATAGCAATATAAATTCCCTAATCCATATTATAAAATATAGTAGGTAGTTGGAAAATAGTAGTATAGAGGCTGACAAATCATCTCTCCTTAGAATCGGTTTTTGTATGTATAATGAATAATAATTTATCATTGAATTCAAATTTAAGACACTTATATACAATCATGGGCGCCTAATAGGGTGGAAGGGGTGACAAGACGGGGCTCTTCCCCCCCCCCCCCCGAAAAATAATATGATCTTATAATAAGTATTACCATTATAGATAATTATTTAATTAGGTACTTATAGAGCATACAAATTATTTTTTTCGTTATCACTATAGGGATTTGAAATTAAAAAAAATACATAATATATAATATAGTCGTATTAACGAATAGGTATACGACTAGTAATCGTTTATTTAGTTGATATTTTGATACTTTTTTGACATATTTGCCTCCCCCCCTTAAATTGAATCAATGGACGCCCACGTAACAATTGAATATAGTAGAGTGGTTGCCTACTTTTTCCCTTTTTGATTTTCAACAAATAATTGTTTTTTTTTTCGGCCATATTAATAATTTATTTTTATCGTAAAATAATTCATAACAGTGTAAGATATGATACATAATCTATAAATTTACATGTATGTATCACATCATATTTTGATTTGTCTGTTAATGATGCATCAACTACAACATTTTGGGACACAAGTATTAACATTTATTTGTATAAAAAATTATTTACTATAACAAATTGTAGCATTAGTTAAATAAAATATTATCATTTATCACGTCGTATCTATGTAATTAGTGAAATGGACTTAGAACTATTATATTTTGTATTTTTAATTATATAGAAATGTAAACAAGTCGTGGGCATCGAGCTAATAAAGGCAAATATATTGGATGCAAAAAGAAATGCTGAAATAAATGGAATAGTCAACTGCGAATTCATAGCTGGTAGGACGGAAGATATTTTAGACTCCGTTCTTAACAAACTTAGAGGGTGTAACGTTACTGTGATAATGGATCCGCCTTTAACTGGAGTCAGTAAGTAAAATAAATATTTTAGACCATATTAATATTACTAAGAATATTAATAATTAAAAATTATAACGCTAAATGTACGTTGTTTTTTAAAAAGGTACCGGATTGGTCAGGACTCTTCGTAAATTTAAAGAAGCTATAAATTTAATTTACGTTTGTTCTAATCACAAATTGCCTTTGAAAAATTTGCTAGATTTTTCCTCGGTAGTCAGATATTGGCAAAAGCCAATAGATTCCGATCCATTTCTTCCACTTCGTATAGTTCCTATAGATATGTGTCCTCATACACTTAGGTCAGAATTGGTTTTGCACTTTAAGAGGTTTTGTGTTGATGACATTTTGTCAACTAAAAACGATAGACCGTCAAAAATCTATAACAATAGAAAATTTAAAACAAAATTTAATCCAAGGATATCGGAAACGATTACATCAAGCATTCAACCATCCGCATCCGGAGTGGGTGGATTGTTGAATTACCTCAAAAAAATCGAAGAAAGAGCGTATCAAGAAGGGTTAGCCAAAGGATTGGAGAGGAAAGCATTCCAAATGGGTTATTCGAGAGGACTTCAGTGTGCCACCGCTAATGATAATGAAGATAAATTTAAAAAAGACACTTCTACTAATTCTGATCAGTAATTACAAATTTACGAACACTATAATAGTATTTGCATTTTTATAGTTATAGGTATATTAATATTTGTATAATTTTTAAAGTTCCATACACATAATTCATAAACATAATAACCAGTTCTTTTAAATTGTATTTAAATGATTACCTATACGTTTTACATTTTTACTAGGTAAAATATAAATTAGGTTGTAAATCGAGGAAAAATTATTATGCTCAAGTGCACATTAAACAATTTACAGTTATTAATGTAAGTGCACTATAATAGATAGTTGAAAATAGTTATTTAAATTTAATAAATAATTTTAAGTTAACATTTTACGACAGCATTTTTGTTATACTACGAATTTGACGTGTATTATTATTTCTTTTTTACTACCTACCTAATCAATATTGTTCACTTTACAAACAATATTATATAAATACATTCACATAATATTTTGTAGATTTACTAATAATTATAAGTTATACATCTTAAAGAAGTACAAAATATTTTAATTTTCTGTTTACTTGTTATTAGTTATAGCTAAAGTACACATATTATAATTTATAGTATAAAAATAAACATAATATAAATAGATAGTATTAAAAAATGTGTCAATAATGCCTAATTTTAAGATATTTAATATGATTTCATTGAAATCAATATTCTTAGAAACTAACCCTTTATAGTTTTAATATATTTTGTTAGTATTGTAGGTATCTATATGGGCTATGTGTACTGTATATTATGAGATGTCATTAACGCCAATAATAATTATTAAACGTAAGATATACAATAGGTATCTATAATTTTTAAGATAGAAGCATTTTAAACATAAAGAAATATAATAATAATCATGCTTCTTATGCAGATTTCTATAAATAAAGAATCTGTACACACCTATTGTAAACTTATGATATGAATATTTTTTCAAAATTTGGAAATTATGACTATGCGAGTATCTTTGATTATTTACAGTGCCAGGACGTATGAGGTTAGTTGGGTTACACCTAAAATGTCAACAACGACAATGGAAATTCAATTGTGTACATGAGGTGCTCTTTTGGTTAGATTTTGTAAACTTGTACTTGATTGCGTGTACATTTTTTCTTATACCTAACTATAATGCCATTAGTTTTCAGATTTTTATCAATGTGTACGAATAGAGTAGTAATGTTTTTTTAAATTTTTTTTGTGATATTTATTTTAGGATAATCCTGTTGAAATGAGGTTTTAACATGCTATTGAAGAATTGACAGGGGCGTATGCGTTATTTGTCGTTCTGCAGGCATGGACTTATAGCAGAACGATAATATTTTGTGGTAGAAAATTGTGGCCTGATAATTCATTTAGATATCAAAGCATCGTTTCTTTTTTTTGTATATGGTTATATTCAGCAAAACCCCGTTATTTAAAACAGGATGAATAATATATGATTTGACTTTTTGACTATCCATTCTTAGTAAAATTAAATAAAACTATTGTATTGAACTTTTTGTCCACCATTTTTTATGCCAGAATAAACAAACGCGTCACTTTGTTGTCGTTGTAAATTGTTTTAATTAATTATACCTACTAGAGCACTGCAGTTATAATTACAACTAGGGTTAGGATATTTATGACCTTAAAAACACTAAAAAAAATGCATGCAAATATGCTCAATAAATATCAAAATATGCCCTTCAAAAATTAATAAACTTAAATACAAATATACAAAAATATGAGATTTTAAAATTTTAGTGAATCATTAAAACAAATTTTTTTAGTTGAGCAGTACTGAACATTCAACTTTTGGCATTTTTAGTGATTATGATTTATGTCCTATTGCCTATCGACATCGTCACTCTATTGGGATTGTGGGCCGTAATCATGATTAAAAAACGTTGAGTTATAGTAAAGATAAGTAAGTAATAACGATACCTACTTTAATTTTTCGTATATAATTAAATAACATAAAAACATCAAAAGTATATTGTAAATATTGCAAGTACAATGAACTTATAGGTACTAAAAAAACGTCCAAGATAAGATAGGTACTGATAATTATTTACAATGGATTGATATTGGTTTACGGATATATTGAGGTTTAAATTATATTTAAATTATTTTTTGGCAAAATACTCGTATGCATTTATTCATAAAAGTTGGTTCCTAAATATGCAAAATTATGCAGTATTAAATTGAATGTACCTATCTGATTCTATGTCACACAAAATTAATTTATTATCGGGTCTGCAATGTGCACGACTAAAAGAAAAAAATAGATATGCAAAACTCATTAACATCACAAACTTTAATTTTAATAATATAAAGTACCTTAATTATTATACCATACGTCCATACACGATGGTATGAGTGAGTACTGACTACTGAGTAAAACATTATTACATTATGCCTAAGACTTGCATCAGTTGCAACACGACATGATTATGAAATTATGAAATATGAATAATTATTATACAATATTGACGTGATAGTAATATCATAGAACAAATAATGATAAGAAAAAAATTAAATATTGATTTTAAATTAATTGTTTTATTAAGTATGGTTTATTAGTGAAAAAAATAAATCGCATAGTTAGTCGTAGTGCAGTATCTTCATGTCATAAATATATGTTCCATAAATTAGATTTATAATCACTTCAAATTGTAAATAATTGTCATTTTCCGAACCCCTGGTTTTAAACAAGTTTTTGTTATCAGTTTATCACTGCAATCGCTTATCAGGTATGATAACGTGAACTTCGAACTCGGTACTGCGTGTAACCGTGTACTCATGTCTTACTGGCCAAAATTTAGTGCGTGAAAGGTGAAAATCTTTTTATACAAAAAAATTCTATCAATATTTTTGAATTACTAAGTTACGTTAAAACATTTACTTTTGTAATATTTTTTATTGTTTCAAATAATTGTTTTTGAAAGATTCATGATTGTTTGCTATAGCAGGTATGTATGTCAAATTATGAAACCTTTTGTAAAGTATATTTATCCATAAGGCATTAACCGTAATACAATATGTAGCTATGATAATTCTATAAACAGTGGTACTAGTGGTAGGTAAACACAAAAATCAATTAACATGTTTTTTGAATATTTGTGATTTTTGTTATCTAAACCAATAGCAATTTAGTTTGTTTTTTTTTACTCTATTAGCTAAGGTAATTAAACTTCAGTGTAATTAGTTCTAACTTCTAAATAAGTTAAATACAATTATGAAATATTTTTACTCTGTTGTCCTTATATTTTACACTATGACGAATAGTTAATTCAATTATTGTAGATAGGCTTAAAATTTACAAATTATAAATACATTTATTATTCTAAATATGAAAACTCAATACAAAATAATATATATTAAAAACTGTTGTGTAAATAATTGATATGTTTCTCTTAAGATTGATAGTTAGGTTTCTCTAATTATAAATATAAATTATATAAATATTATGATATGTTATATTGAGTATTAATCTATCTGTTTAGTATAGAATTTAGATAGTAAATACTAAACGGTTAACGGTTTGATGTATGAAGGCGATCATATGAGAATTGAAGTATTATGAAAAAAAATAGAAATTAGCAAAACACTTATGATCATTAATAGTCTTTAGGCTATATATGAATTATATCTTCTTCGCAATGCTAAGTTAATATGTTACTTTGAACAATAAATTTCTACCAAGAAAAAAGTGTTTAAATCATAAATATTTTATGTATGAAGATCTTTTCTCCAAGAGTTGGTCTAAAATAATAATAAATAATAAATTAAAAACAAATATAATTTTTCCAAGTTAATTTTTATTTTGTCATGTAACATTAAAAATAGTATTCCATAATTTAATATTTTTTTTTTGGGGGGGGGGGGGGGGGTTCTAAATAATTGCAAATACAATTTTTATTTTTTTACATGATTGATGTACAAAACCTATTATTTTTAATAATTATAATACAATTTAATCTATTTATTTTCAATTAATGTGTATTGTTTCCCACACTATTAGTTATATAATGCAACATTTTAACTTAGTATAACACTATAATATTAATTTTCCATTTTTTTTTTTTAATTGTCTCCAATATTTCTTCTATAAGAATAGACATTTTCCAATGTATTGATAGTAAAGCAAATTCCGTAAAACGTTTATTTTCAGTTTAATTACAAAGTACAGTAAAACCTCATTAATCCAAACTAATAGGGGTTCTAGATTGTCTGAATTAATGAAAGTCCAGATTAAACAAAATAACCAAAAAATGTAAATTATAAATCTAAGAAAACTTTATTGGATATTTTAATCTAATACATATATTTCATAATATTAAACCTAAAAAATAATACATAATTATCGTAATTGTATTCTAATCATTACATATACATACATATAGTATTAAAGCACGCCTTCATTATTCACACTCGACACACTTATTGGTTTGAAAAAACTGCTCATCTTTGGTTATCTTCCTTTCACAGTGATTTCTTTAATGATTAACTCGCGAAGATGCCTCAGATGCTCATAATACGCAAATATGTTTTCATCGTTGTTATCTTCAACGTATTTAATAACAATGTTTAGATGATCTTTAATTTCACCAAGTTTTGGCGGTTTAGGATTGACATTATCGTCTGCTTCATTGTGATCATATTCATCCGTTTCAGAGCTCTCTGTAGCAGTCAAACTTTCAACAATCTCCTTTGTTAAAATATTATAACCTAAATCATATTCATCTGCTTCTAGCCACAATTCAATGTCTTCTAATGTAACTGAATTTTCACCTCCTTGGTGAAAAATGTTTTGAAAATCCTCTGTTTCCAATTCAGCTGTGTCTAATTCAACCTCTTCATTTATTAAAAGTTTTTTCCATGAGTTAATCAAAATTGAAGGTTTTATATCTTTGACAGCAGATGCGAAATTGTAAATCATGGATCTGATATTGTAATTTTTGAGATTCTGTAACGTTTTATAATTTCTTTTATCTTCTCCCGCAGCTGGTTCCTTGACTTCCAAAATTTCATTTAAAAGCTTCTTTTTGTATAGACGCTTAGCTGTGTAGATGACGCCTTGATTCATAGGCTGAATCAGAGAGGTAGTGTTTGCTGGCAAAAACATGCACTTGATCTTTTTATCATCACTAGTAAGATATTCAACTTGTGGATGTACTGGACAATTGTCCAGTAGAACTAAGGCCTTCACTTTATCGTTAGGAATTTTCAAAATTTCTGTTTGATATCTTCTAATTTCTGGCACTGCTTTTTTGTGAAACCAATCTATTGTAATGTCTGAAGTGAACCATGCACTTTTCGAGCTGTAGTAGTGAACTGGTAACGTGTCATTAATATTTTTTGTTGTACGTGGTTTTTTATTTTTTCCTACAATCACAGACTTTAACATATGACTTCCATCAGCATTAGCGCACAGTAATGCAGAAACTCGATCTTTACTGATCTTCCTACCATTTGTATTGTTATTAGCTTTGGACGCTCGACTACTGTTTGGTAATGCTCTCCAATATAACCCTGTTTCGTTACAATTGTACAGTTGCGAAGGCAGTATATTTTCAGCTTTTAAAATGTCATTCAATTTTTTCCTGAATGACTCAACAACTTTATTGTTGCCACTGAGACTTTCACTACATATTTTTTTATTTGTTATGTTGTGACGTCTTCTAAACCTAAACAGCCATCCCGAACTGGCTTTGAAGTTATTTATGTTCAACTGTTTAGCTAATCTATACGCTTCAGCTTGAATTTCAACTCCACGAACTGTCAACCCAGAAGAAAGAAGTTTACAAAACCATTTGTAAACTGCGTCATCAAGGGATTGATCTAGTGGCAATCGCATTCTTTTTACAACACTAGTTTCTTTTTCTACGTTAAATTTTAGAACAAATTTTCTTATATCATCTTTTTTCTTTCTTATGTCCGAGACGGTTTGTTTGGCAATCCCATATTGCGCACAAATGCTTAACACAGGCGTTCCTTTTTCGAGTTTTTCTATTACACAGAGTTTATCGTTAAGAGAAAGAGACATATACTTACGCTTTTTACCTTGATTAGGTTTACTTGACGACATCACGGTGATATGTATAAAAACTGCCGAAGTATAAATTATGAAACGATAAACGAAACAAAAACACACACGAAACACTCCGAAGCGTATCAGGCAACCGACTGACGCTAAATACAGTAAAGCCTTGATAGTCCGAACGAATTCAAACTGAGCATCGTCCGGATTACTGATTCGCCCGGATTACCGGAGGGTGTTCAAAATTACCCGCTCAAATGACTAAGATTTATATTTTTAATTCCACCACCTTTATATTTATTGCACTTTAAATTACAAAAATAATAAATAACTTTAACGTTATGAATTACAAAAAATAAAGAAAATATATATAATAATAAAACTTAAGTATATTAGTCAGTAATATTTTTCTGAATAATACTTTTAATTCCGAATAAACTACAAATGTATTTACGAACAAATTTAATGGACTTAAGCCATCCGGATTACCATGTTCACCGGATTATCGAGGGGTCCGGACTATCGAGGCTTTACTATGGTATATATGTATGTATGTATATATTGTATTGTTTATATTAATATGTAATATTGCTAGTTGAATCAAATACATATGAATAACGTTAATGACAATTGGTATTGATAAATATCGCAATAACCCGCATTTATGGGACATTTATAGAACTCGTTTTTATGTTTATTTTAATCTACGACATTAATTAGTGTAATTTATGTATTATAAACGGCTGCCCAGATTAAGTGAAATCCGGACTAATGAGGTTCTACTGTAATGTTTTGAAGTGTTTCAATGTTGAAAAGGAACACTCTACTGTTGTTGTAAAATCTGGTAGTTGCCAAAACGTTCAACAGAAAATTTATGTTTTGATAAAAATTTACATCACGTGTATCCAAAAAATCCATCATTCTAGGGGGGGATTATTTTTTTTTATATATTTATCAATTTCTCACGCTATTAAAAATATTCAGACATGGACACTCTATCTGACACACAGTCTTCGTAAAATATATTTTATTTTTTAAGTTTTGATACATTTTAATTTAAAGCAAATTTTGCTATTAAGATTTTAATCGATGATAAACTATCATTGTTATACTTAAAACGGTTATCCAGATTTAAAGTGAGAGTATTTATTGATGTAACAAATATAGATGCTTTATACTCTATAGTCAATAATATTCTTTTAGTGAGTTACAATCATAATTTCCCCTAAGTTTTTGCTTTTTACTGATGCGAGAACATAAAATATCTGAATTAAAATAATGTTTTATAATACAATAGCATCATAAAAAATGGATGAAAATGATTTTAAATTACGATTACGTGTACAATTATATAATTTACTAAGGCAGCATACCCCTACAATATTTTTCGATAATAATTGAAGTTATCGACGTTGCTGACGTGCATTGTGTCCGCTATTAAATAATATTCCAAATTCTACCGTTCCACAGTGATTTATTTTTGTATCACAATACAATATAATACTTTTTGAATAACACGTGGATATTTAATAAAAAAGTTTTTCAATTTGATTAAAATTATAAAAGATTACCATTTTATATGACGGCATGGACAAATTCTGGAAGGTACTTGGATCCAAGAACCTCTCCTGGTTACATGCTTGCAGCAACATTATGCATTATATTAATAGTTTGTTTAATTTTCATTTGAACAAATGTTTATTATAAAGTATAAACGCATAATATATTAATAATTGAGCATAGTGTCCGACGCTCCGACGTCTCGACGTCTGTCACTTTTTTATGAACTCAATACCTTATTAAAACTGACCTAACCCTTCGGGTTCTATTGTATGTATGATATTTATATAGGTTAATGGTTAAATCGATTACTCGATTTGCGAAAGAAAAAAATTATTATAGGTCTTTTTTTTAATTCCGTTTGTCAAGTGTCAGGAGACAGGAAGTCTACACTTGTTTCCTGCACACTTCATGCACAAGTTTTATTCGACGTCGTGCGTAATTTATTGATATCGTCCATCGAAAGTTGTACACCGGCTGCGCGCCACTGTATTATACTATAGGTAGGTAGGTACTTTCATTACACGAATCGAATGGCTTTAAAATAATTCTCTCTCTCTTCTTTATTCCTCGTCGGACGTCTGAGCGAATATAATGCATTATAAGTACATATATATATATAGCGTGTACTCCGTCCAACGATCGTCGTTGATTGATTGATTGTTCGCGGGCAAAAATAGGTTTTCGGAGTAGGTTGTCGTGATGGTATGTGCATTAAGTCTGCGAGCGCGTCATAACCAACTGGCATTCAAACGAAACCTTCGGTTTTCGTCGCACGCGGTCGGCGGCGATGGTGGTTAACGCGGTGTGAATGCGCGCGAGGGTGAACGTAAACTAATCGATACGACGTGACGCGGCACGCTCGGAGGGGAACTTTTAGACGCGCGTGTGTGGGCGGGCGGGTGGCCCCCGTGGCGTGGTGTCCGCGCGCACATTCCACCGCCGTTTCGCTCCCCTCGGACCGTCGTCGCGCATCCCTAGCCAGTACCAATCGTCGCGCCGTCCGAGCGCCATCGACGTCTGCCATGCTTGATCCGTCCCGAGTGTTTTGTCGTCGCCGCCGCCGTCGTTTCCGTCATCGCGTCGTCGTGCACCGTCTCGACTGGCGGCGTTAGACCGCCAGCGCACACACACTCGCGCAATCGTTTAACCACCGCCGCTATCGGTCGTGGTATACACTGCAGTGGTAACCGGTGCTAACGACTGGTGTCGCCGCCACGGGTCGGGATCGTGCGATGCGCAGCGGACCATGACGCTGTGCCACAGCGAGACCAGGAGAAAACAGCGGCGCGTCCACGGGCTGCAGATGCCGTGGCACCCGCAGCAAGTGGCCGGTTGGCTGGTGTTAGCCACGTTCGGCGCCTGTTCGTTTGGAGTGCTGTTGCCCGGCCTCGGGCCCGACGTCTATCCGGTCGCGCTGTTCGTGCTGGGCAGCCTGTTCTTCTTGCACGTCGTGTCGCACGTAGCCGCGCTGCTCATCGACCCCGCCGATCCGCAGCTCCGGGCCACCGGCGACGACGCTCGGTCGTCCCGGAAGTCCGTCCCCGAGCTGGACAAGACCAAACACGCGCACGTCATCGAGAACGGCAAGTGTCACTTGTGCAATATCTACACTTCCGGTCACCGGACCAAGCACTGCGGATCGTGCAATAAGTGCGTGGAGAAATTCGATCACCACTGCAAGTGGCTGAACCACTGTATTGGCGCCAGGAACTACGTGGCGTTCATCGTAAGCGTCGTGTCGGCCGTGCTTGCGTGCCTGGTGATCGTGCTCGTGTCGTCCGCCGAGCTGGTCATCTACAACGCGGACCCGATGCACGTCGAACACTACCTGCGTCCGATGTTCGGCACCAACCAGACCATCCAGGTGAACCAGCTGTTCAGCGTCAGTCGACTGTCGGTGGACCGGAACGTGTTCGTGGCCGTCGCGTCCGTCCAGTGCTTTTTGGCCCTGGTCGCCATGGTGCTGCTACTGCACTTGTGCGTGTTTCACGTGTACATATCCGCGCTGGGCATCACCACGTACGAGTACATCCGAAACTACAGACGGTATCCGGAGTTCGACTCCAGGAACGGGGCGGCTGCGCTGTCTTCATCGTCGTCGCTGTCCGACAAAAACGCCTCGATGTCTTCGGGATGCTGCGGTAACGCCGCGGGCCGGAAGTCCGTCATGGCCAGAGTGTACAACTCGGCGTGCTGTTACGGCGCGGTGGCCACGGGCCGGCGCAAGCGGCCGTCGTGCGGCATCCACTCGAACCTGAACGGCGCGAGCCGGAACAACCAGGAAAGCGGCGCCCACGACGATATGACCGTTGAGACGGTCGAGTCCTACGGTCGCGGTAGTGGCTCTAGTAGACTGCTACAACAACCCAAGGACTTGGATCGGACGACGAGACCGGAAGACCGCGAGCAGCAAAACGCACAGCCAAAGTGCCGGTACTGTCTGGAGAAGAACAGGATACGGGGTGACGGTGCGCGGTTTTTCGTGTTGGGCAAACGCCGCAAAGGGTTCTGTTGCTGCTTCCAGAAACCCGAGCCGGTATTTGGTCGAACCGCCGCCACAGCCGCCGCCCACCACGTCAAAGTCCCGCCATCGCCTTTTGCAGTTCGCAGGAATCGTGTCATACCCACCGACGGCGGTCAGCTGTCGTTGGTCGTCGACGAGTGGAAATCGTTCAACTCGGGCACGCTGCCGGCCTTGCCGCACGCGGCCGGCCACCGTCAGATGCAAAAGATCACGCTCAAGGAGCTGGGCCAGGTGTTAGCGTTCGTCGAACAACAGCCCTTGAAAACCAAGCGGCGCAAGATTGGAAGCGGAAACGGGCAAATAAAACACTCAAAGTCGTCGTCCAACCTGTCGCCGATTCACGAGTCGGGACTGTCCAACCCGTCAACGCCGCAGCTGAAAAACCGTTACCCACAGACCAGGCCGTGCAGTTGGCTGTCGTCGTCACCGCCAGCGCCGCCGCCGCCGCCACCATCGTCTTCCTCCCCTCACAACACTTCTAAAACCGCGTGATTTATGTGTGTTTGGGTTTTTCCATATCCACCCTTTTTCCTTCCCCCTAGACACACGTGATGCGTGCGCGCACAATTCGCATTTCGTTTTTATCGTAGACTCTTCGTGGACCGATAAAATATTTTATGAACGACAGCGTCTGGTAATCAAAATTGTAAACCTTAATAGTATATAGTTTTACTACCGTGCAACCATGTCCGAACCGAAACGACTTGGATCGGATTGCCACCGACCGACGAACGAATCGACCAACGATCGTGGTTTCCGTTTCCCATTGTTTCTGTTCTGATGTCACGCGTAATGCAACTCTTCCGTATAGCAGTGTATATGTATATAGGACATATAGGTACCTATTTGATTTAACGCGAATGAGAACGATAACTATATCGAATGTTACTGCTCTGGTAAGATAAAATGCCGTTAATCGCTTAAGAACGTTTTTGAAGAAAAAATACACTTCTGTATTTCGCATTTTCTTAAGGTTCATAATGCTTCCTACATAATAATATTTCTTATAATATAACACGTGATTTCTATGTAAATTTACACGAGAAATGCAATGAAATAAAAATAAATATGATGAAACGCATTTTTAAATTGATATAGACTTGTTTCATGAGGAATAAGTAAGAAGTGTATGTATTATAATTATACAAGTTATAATTTATGGTATAATAGTAATATCTTGTTTGTTGAGCAGTACTTTAAACTAACCTAAATGAATTAAATTTTAAAATTTTAATTTTTTTTTTTTTGGACGGCATTTTAGCTTGAAAAGACAGTGTTTATGTCATCGATGTCATACGTAAATGTACAAAATTCTGTAGAGGAATAAACCACAAATAATTGTATTAAAAATAATTTGGATTTTATTGTTTTTATTTTATATACTTACATATATATAACTTAAGTAGGTACCTATTTATTATATTGTACATTATACTCAAAGTATTATACCTACCTAGTTCTCCCCTATTTAAGACTAATAGTGACTACCAAAATGTTTTCAATGTAACATGTATTTGACGTTTCCAAAAGTCAACAACAAACGACTGCAACCCATTTAAATCAATAATGATGTTTAATTTTCCTAATGACCAAATAAAAAATGATTACTGAGCATGCGATATTATAATATTCCTTATCATGTGATATATAGGTACCAATTGTAAGTCATCCTTTCTTGTTGTACTATTATATTAATATTTTAATACTTTTCCATTTTTATATATTCATTTAAAATTTTAATTTATTTAGAAAACTATTACTAAAAAAAAAAAAAAGTTTTTGTGAAAACTAAATGTTTGAAATGTCACGATTTAGTTTTAAATTTTATTAGCAAATAATATGTTTGTGAAATTTTTATGAAAAATTGAATATATTTTTTTAAAATCTATGATTTACTGTACAGAGTGTACAGTGATTAAATTATTTTGGAAAATCATTAGTTGGTGTTTAATATGTTCAATTTAGTAGCATTGCCTACAACCGTCTTACAATTATCTAATATAAATGTTTAAAAAAAATAAAGGTAAAAAGTCCATTGTAATTTTATTATATTTTAATTTAAAACCTAAAAATATTTTATAGAGTAAGTTATCTTATTGTATGTTTTGTATTTAAAACTATATTGGAAACATTTTTTGTTTTTTTTTTTTAATTTACCATATCAAGGTATTGTAATTAATAGCCTTATAGTAATAATTATTAATAACAGTGAAATAATTTATCAATGACCTAATATGTTTTTCTATGTACACAATAAATTGTAGCCTTGTATGGTAAGGAAGAAAGGGTTAAACAGTATATTATGTAATTTTAAATTTGTGATAATCATAGTCTAATCGTACAAATTTATTTACATTATTCAACATTCAGTCATATTTTATTTCATTGACTAAACTTCTATTGTTTCTCTCCCAATGCCACTTTTCAATAGCTACTAATGAGAAAAATGAAAATCAATACTATAACTAATAAATTTGGTTTTTTTTTTTTTCTATTTATTTGGTAAATGCGTTAGCAGACTTGGACTTTTTTCCTCATGAATTTTTAAATAATCTAAAATCTTACTTTTCTATTGTACTTTTAATTGGTATGTTTAACCATGATTTAAATTTTATACAAATGTGTTATTTGAAGAATAAATAAATAATGTTCATGTGGTTTTAGAATTTTTACCACTTAATTGTCTTTTAAACATACCTAATAGTTTCCTGTTTTAACATTTTGAAAGTGAAATAATTTATAATATTAACCCATTATTTGGTTTTCGATAAACATATACTATATATAAATATAATATTGTATTATCAAATATTGTGTTTATTTATTTTTGCATAATAAAAATGGTATCCTCATAAGTTATGGTTTTAATTTATCTTGGATTATGTGGATTACAGTATCTATTGAAATGTCAATAAATATACTAACTGATGTTCAATGTAATTTATGAAGGTTGAAAGTACCTGCTGTACAGAACACATGTGGTGTACTGAGGTGCCAAGTTTTCAATTAAAATTTAAAATCAAATGTTCTATAATTTGTTTGTACATGGGACACTAATAATAATAACTTATTTTTATTAGTGCATTTCATCTTATGTACAATAATATATTGTGGCCTGGCGTGGCGCAGTAGTTGGCCTTAGTCACTAATGTGTTCTAAGGTCAAGCATGGCTGGCGTTGCTAACTCTCGGATGGTTGACCACCCGAGTTTTTAGTAACGAATCCATGGCGCATACACATACACACACGTGTTCCAACCTTACTAACCTTACTAACCAAACTTTACAAACAACCCTTACACAAAAAACCTACTATTCCTATCCACAGCTAATGGCTTTAGTTTGCCGGGCTTATATAAGATCAAAAAAAAAAAAAAATTAATAATAAATATATTAAATATTGTATATTCACATTTTTTTGAATTAAATAAAAAACAAATAAATTTCATAGAATACATTTAATGACCCTGGGTAAGTAAAACAGAAAATATAAGACAAACAACAAATTGTCATTTTATATAATATTATCCTTTGAAATTTTAAAATTGTCATTCAATTATTTAATTTTGAATAAAATCATTTTATAGTTCGATTTATTTTTTAGGTATAATTAATTAGAACTATGGAGTCAAAAGAAAATGTATGGGAAAGGCTTGGAAAACCAAAGTATATACTAGCCCCTATGGTTGAACAGAGCGAGCTACCTTGGCGAATGTTATCACGTAAACATGGTGTTCAATTATGTTTCGCACCAATGCTACACAGTCAGAATTTTGTTCAAGATCGTAAATATCGCAAAGAATTTTTCACCACTTGCCCTGAAGACCGGCCTTTAGTTGTTCAGGTACAACTATAAAAACATATTGTCTTATTCATTCAATAATATTTAAAGGACACTATACTATGTCATTGTGTCCTCTACCTCGTAGTAAAATTGTACAACAAAAGAAATGAGTGTTCAGCAAAACCAATTTTGTGTTGTTAGCTTTAATACTAAATTAGAATGAAACATAAAGGTAATAACATTTTGATGTTTGTACGTTAGTGTTAACCATATTAATAAGGATAATGTTCTTTCTTTTCGACGTTTTAGTTTTGATAAGACAATACACAGTTATATTAAAGTTTACAAAAAATTGTTCTGTCAAACTCTAACTATATTGTAATAGAATATAGGCACTAAATGTCCAAATGTCTGCTCAGTTAATTTTTTGTTAATAAATCTTATATTTTGTTTTTAATAGTTTTGTGGTAATGATCCAAAAGTAATACTCGAAGCTGGAAAATTAGTTGAAGATAGTTGTGATATAATAGATCTAAACTTGGGTTGCCCACAAGCCATTGCTAAGCGTGGATTTTATGGTTCTTTTCTCCAAGATGAATGGAAACTTATATTTGAGATTGGTAAGTGGGTTTTATTGTTTTTACTTATTAATAATTAATAATAACATGATATTGATATGCTCAATATCCAACCTAACTGTAGTCTGTCCAACGAAGAAAACATCATGCCAATTGTATGCGTCTCCACACGACACCCTGCTGTCAAATCGCAGTATATTCTTTTGCTGAACAGAGTATACACTCAAAATGTGTTATTGTTTAATAATGTGTTTGAATTTCAGTTAAAACATTACGAGACAATCTTAAAGTACCAGTATCGTGTAAAATACGTATTTTTGAAGATTTGACAAAAACTATTTCATATGCTAAAATGTTAGAAGAAGCTGGTTGTCAAATGTTATCAGTTCATGGTCGGACTAGAGAACAAAAAGGAAGATTGACAGGAATAGCTGATTGGAATCAAATAAGGGCTGTAAAGTGAGTTTAAAAAAAATCCAAAATAAAATGTAACTATTTATCATAAACTCAAAGTCATACTACATAAATGATTAATGAAGTTAAATTTTATTAATAAATTATATTAACAATTCATTTAATGCACATTATATCTATAAAATACCTAATTTAAAATTTTATTATTTTTAAAATATACAGTTAATTTATAAAATAAATTAGATAAGTTTACATTATTCTTTTTTTTAACTATTATGTTAATACATATTGTATTATATTTATTTTTTAGGGAAAATGTAACAATTCCTGTCTTAGCTAATGGAAATATTCTTATATATCAAGATATTGAAAGGTGTTTAAAGGAAACGTTGTGTGAAGGAGTTATGTCTGCTGAAGGACATCTTCACAATCCATACATTTTTGATAATCAGTCACCTCCTGTTTGGGAACCAGCACTTGAGTACTTAGATCTTAGTGAACAATATCCTTGTCCACTTTCAAATACAAGAGGTCACTTATTTAAAATCTGCTACCATATGTATGTGAATAAATAATTATTTTTAAATTGTATCGTGATTATAATTATTTTATTTTTTGTAATTTTAGATTCAGTCTCCCTGAAAACGAATCAATTAGAGATATATTAGCAAAAGGTCAAAATCGTAATGATTTTAGAAACGCTATTATGCAATTAAAAGTAAAATATTTACCATATCACATGGGCCAATTACCGTGGAACAACAATCAAAATGGTACATTAATTATGACACTTAAATATTATAAACAAATTACATACTCACAGTTTTCTAATATAATTTTAGATTATAACTTGACTTTACCGCCTTGGTTGTGCCAACCGATGATTCGTGTACTATCAAAGAGTAATTTAGTTGAGCTTGAAATGAATGAAGAAGTAAACAAATCAAAAACCGACGAAAAAGAGGTAAAAGACTTTATTATTTAACAGTATATTTATTAATTTCCTTAAAAATGTATTCAATTCAAATAGAATTTAAAAAGAAGTATTGATGACGAAGACTTAAATGACCCATTGAAATTGTCAAAAAAAAAATTAAAACAATTGAGTAAATTAAAAAACAAAGAAATTAGGTGTCAGAGAATACTTGAAGAATTATGTTCTGAATGTCGAAATCCAAAGGTACTTACTGTTCTTTAAGTGAACTTTAAAGTTATAATTTACTGTTATTAATTTTATGTTTACTTTCAAGGGCTTAAAATGTGAGTATAAACTTTGTAAAAAATGTTGTCGAAGCAAATGCTATTTGGAAATTGCTGATTGTCTTGGTCATCGAATATTAATTAAAACAAAAAGAAACTCATCACGTCACAAAGAAGGTATTTTTATTTAGTAAATATAAATTTTAAGATAAATTGAATAAGAATCAATGATAATCATTATTCTTGTAAGACTTTACCTGATTTTAACCTTTATTTAGAACTATTTTATTCTAATCAATTTATAAAATATTTAAAATAAATAATATCAACTAACAGCATTAACTGTTTTTTTTTTTTAATTGTTACACTTAGAATTCCTTATTTTTTTTTTTCATAACTTTTTATAAACTTCATTGACCCACATGTTTATTGTATAAATTAATTATAACATTAATTATTCATTATTATATATTATTATTCAATTTATAATATTATTTTGACTTTAGGTATATTATAAATCATTTGAATTATCAATATTTAATATTTTCTTATTTTGTTTATTTTCAGAAAAAGATCTCAACTGTAGGTAAGCAAATGTACACCAATGTTTCATGAAATGAAGATTAAAAATATGATAAACTAATTAAGTGTTAATATTTTTTAATAAATGATTTATTAATTCTAACATTATAGTAAAGAATCATATATATTAATTGTTATTTAAATTTAATTAATAAACGAATTAAACTCTACTTTCATATTTTAATTTATTTATCTGAGAAAACCAGTTTCGTTTAAAAATTAGAATATCAAATGCGATAAAGATTGATGCAGAGGCGGTTTGTAAATGCTAATTTAATAGTGCAAATCAACTCACCCATCGCCTTCAATAAAATGAATGATAAAAGTAATGTTTATAAATTTATGACCTGCAGTTTAGGTTTATACTCGTAAAAAACCTACTTAAGAACGCAGATAAAGTTCTTATCATTAAGTCGCTTATGGTTGAATTAATTTTAATATTAAAGCTATAAAGCCAAATGTGAACTTTTGAAGATAGATTTACCACGCCGAGCTGCACTTGTAAGACGAAGATAACAAATGCGAGTGTTACGTCTTCTTCTTAAGAGGAACTTTGTATCACATTTTTGATTAAAAATTTTAAGACTTTCCATCAATGGAATTAATACATAAATATATAAATATATTGTGCTCAATTTCACAAATATTTTTTTTTTTTATCAGCATCTGAAATTAAAATTTAACAAAATCGAATATTTGTAAAATAACGATTTCTTGTTCATTGAACTCTGGCGCGGCACCGGCACATATCGGCATCCAGCGATTTAGTGTTCGGATCGCAAAACCCCTCTGTCGGTACATAAATAAGCAATTTCTATTTTTATTTCAATTACTTTCTCTAACTTCTTTAACCGTATCTTAATGTGTAATTCTGTTACGTGTTTCTGATTTCACAAGATATATTTTTTTTGTTTTTGCACCAATAGTACAAATCTATAAATATATTTCGTTAAATATCAGGACATATGAATATATATATTCACACATCTAATAATTCTTTTTACACCTTATATGGTAATAAACCATAGTAGAATATTTTATATACTATCTTTTTGATTATCTATATTTTATTTTTGCTTATAGTTTCGGACAATACGTTACATTTAGCTTTGTAAGATCGCTTACTCCAAAGATCATGATCGATTACAACAATCTTAAACAGTCAATTTCGCCTTTTTCTATCGCTAATTTCGCTTTCTTCTTTTCCAGCAATGAACATTTTTTCCACGCAAAATCATTAAGTGTTTGGAAATATTATTATAGATATCTTCAGTGGCATAATTGGGGAAAAATTTATGGAGGGATCAAAATAATTTATTTATCATATGATCAAAACCCTGTACATTTGTATAGTTGGATTATCTGGGAGAGGAAATTATATATATATTTGCCCTTCACGAAATTGTCAGGGGGAAATTTCCCCCTTTCCCTCCACAATTATGTCACTGGATATCTTAATATAATTTGTTATACATATTAGGCACATTCATAGTAGCTGAAAACTCTTTGAACGATAATAATTATCCTTATTCCTTGTTCAATATTTACTATAGAGTAAATCAAAACTATATTATTACGTGTATAATTTGATCATCAACATTAAATAAAAGTAAAATAAATTAAATTTGAAAACTTTAAGTTACAAAGTTCGCAATCAAATCCTTCACGTTTTTTTGAATTGTTTCAAAAACATATCACATATCAATAATTATTTTCCCATTTAAACTTTCCAAGAAATTAACAGTGTCATTATTAATGTTGACAGTATTTATACATACGTTACACTCAATGAATTATCTGGTAAATCCATTAAAAAAAAAATTCAATTACGCGAGTTAATTCGAATGTGGTTAGTAAAATGTCGCAAGGGAAATAAAATATAGACAAATGGGTACTGCTTTGCTATTTATTTGACGTCGAATTTAGTGTCGCTATATATTGAATGTATTAAATTTGTTGAATTGAGTGATACATCATTGTACATACGAAAAATTATTTTGAGCGGAAACGGACTGTCAGTCTATTATATCATCTAAAATTATTTTATAGTATGTTTTTTTTTTTTATGCAGCTAATAAAGTAATTTATTTTACTTTTAGAATTACGATAGCTTGATACAATTTTCCCCGAAAATATTACGTTTATTATATCATCAGTATTTAATTATTAAAACAATATACATTTTTTATACTATATTATATTTACTTAAACTATTCAAAACGTAATAACATATTACATCATTGTATGAAAGTAAAAAATAATTTCACAGTATAAATAGATTAATACCTTAAATCAACCAAAAATGTCATTGCGTATAATAACAATTATTGTAACATTCATAATAATGTAATGTACGTAAAAGCTTTTAGTTCTCACAAATAATGTTATTAAATTATAAAAAAATAATTAACATCGTCTTTTTTCATTAAAATAAGTAATTTCGTCGAAATTCCAACATAAAATGTATATATAAAACATTTGCCTAATGTGTTTCATACAAATATAACTAATGAGAACGACTTTTGTGGGAATATTTTTATTACATTTTCGAGAATGTTTATCTAACGAATAATTTTTTTTCAACATTTATTGGAAAAAAACTTTAAAAAGCTAAAAAAAAAAATTGTTATGTTTACGTAAAGCTATAAATAACTCTAAAACATTAGAAATGTTCAAGTGTTGTGAAAACCATACCGTTTATAGAAAATAGTAATAAAAATATTTTGGGGAAATTTTGATTATTCACGGACTACGGTTAAATATTCGCTATCGTAAAAATTTGATACTAAATTCGGTTCTGTAGTAAGTACAAGTAATTTAACGTATATTCTCCTTTGAACAAAGAATAAAAAACGAACGTTGTAAACTTGTAATTATAAAAAAAAAAAGTGGTGATTAATTAGGTAAGTACCTACTAATTAGTAATAATTGTTATTCTACGGTTGGAATAGGTACTTAGTCTTAGAATACGCCTGTCGGCTAACCGCCACTAGATGGCGCCACGCGGTCGAATAGCCCGTCCGTCTTAACATTACGGCTATATTATAGATAACGCGACGCGCAGTCCATTCATTATTTTTACAATTCAATTCTGTGCGTACGACCGTCAGTCTAACAACAATAATAATGGTATCGCACGTTATCTGCATCCTTCATTAGCAGTAAGTTTGAAGTTATACCAGCAGCAGCAGCTGCAGATGTAGCCCGTGAGACTTGAGTAAGAAGTGTTTTAAACTTTCGAGTATTAGCCATGGTATTGCGTTTTTCGTCCCACTTCCACCGCTTTCCATTTGTAACGTGTTTGATTTTTTTTCACTACTTCTTTATCAGTATTCAGCACCGTGAAATATCGGTCGTCAAGAGTCGAGTTGACGCTATCGTCTGTTTCGACATTTTACTTTATTTACCTAGTTTTTTAATCACATGTTTTCGTTTTCATTCGCAAATCGTAGTGTTTAATCGAAAACGATCCCGATCTGCCATGTAGTTCAATCCACAAATCGAAGAAGATACGTTTTATGAACGGCATCGGGACCAACTACTTATTTATTATTATTACTATTGGAGTTTTCTTTGTAATTTTTTGATTGATCAGAATGATTATTATTGAATACCTGTTGTTGTAAAATAATTATGTTTTAATTGTCTTCAGTTCATGACCGAAGAAGTAATAATGATAAAACAAATAACAATGACACTAAACAAACACATATGTTCAATGTTTGACATTGTAGAATTTAATATAATTAGTCAAATATTTTAATCTACCCCTTCCCTTCGTTAATTGTTATGTACTGATTAACACCGTCTATCTATGGGACTTGGGATTAATTCTTGTCGAATGAAAATCATAAATCTATGACTACAATTAATTGAGATAATCTCCTTTAATAGACTACACAATTTGGTGACCAATGAAATTAATTAATCAAGTATGTGATTCCATTTTGTGAATAGAAAACCAGAGCAATTATGGAAGAACAAACGTTATTGCAAGATCTAATGGAATTGGCCACGCACATGCGACAAGAACGACTTTTCACTCAATACGAATTGAACAATTTGCAGACATTGAATGAACAGGTAAATGTTTATAAAATATTCAATCTTGCTGGGTTATAATTGTTATTGTATTAAGATTTACACGGTTACATTTTGTTTCATTGTTTAACTGACCTATTTTGAACAACCAATTTTGATTTTTAATTGAAGAAAATATTTTTATTAACAGGTGATTAGTGTATCAAATAGATTGGCCCAAGAAGCGTGGATAACAACTCAACAACGAATTAATCTTAATAAATTAGTCTTGTCAAATCCTGATTGTACGCCTGCTGATTGTTGTGAGATTGCTCAACACTTAGACGATGCACATTTTGTTGAAGTTCATGAATCAATCGGCTACGATGTAAGTCTGTATTCATAAAATAAATAACAAATTAATAAATTTTGTTTATAGAATGCACAAGGGTTTGGTGTTCTTGTGCAAAAGTTGCGTATAAATCCAAAACTACTAGCAAGCTGTTTAGCTGCTGGAGATCGATTATTTACTAACAAAATGCCAGAGGTTGTCAATTGTACTTTGTCTGGAGTGTTTGGATCTTGTTTGATGGCCGAGGATAATGTTTTAATATTAAAATTACTCAGACACTTGGCTGTGTTACAATTAATACCTGCAGATAACCCTTGCAGGTTTGCCCTTTTGATTGAATAGAATATGTACAATTGTATAATGTGTGTATTATGTATAATATTATAACACTTATGTTATGATGAAAATTAAAAATAAAGAAATAATAATAGACGTTTAAATATTTTAGGATATTAAGTCATGGATCATGTGCTTTTTCAAGATTGTATTCAGCATTCCACGGGAGTTTATTTTCTGCAAAATTATTTTTGACTGCTGCCTTTCATGACCCCATTATGGAGTTGTTAAAAGACGAAGAAAAGTACCTAGATATTGATCCAGATAAAGCTCAAATGAGGTAAATAAATTACCAACTAT